TGTGTGTGTGTGTGTGTGTGTGTGTGTGTGTGGTGTGTGCGTGTGTGCGTGTGTGCGTGTGTGTGTGTGTGTGTGTGCGTGTGTGTGTGTGCGTGCGTGTGTGTGTGTGCGTGTGTGTGTACGTATGCCAAGTGCTTAACTTGTCTTGCCCACACGAACAATTCTCTCGTCTCCCCTCCCCTTCTCCTCCCTTGCATGCGTCACTCAACTTGAACATTGCAACACACCACCGTGCACCACCACCACCACCACTTCCTCCTGATGCCACGTGTCAGGTTGCACAAGCGACAACGTCCACGTCGCGCCTGAACGAGAGTCAGTTCCAGATGCCATCGCTCTTGCCGGACGCAGCTGGGTTTGAGGAGCCCCACACCAAGTCCCGCTCCCTGTCGCAGCTGGCACGCGACTCGCCCTCGCTCGGGTCTGTGCTCCTCCCCTCCGAGGTGGAGATCATGCGCCTGAGCGACGCCATCTTGCTCACGCCGCACCGCTCCCACTGGCGCGCGGCGTCGGGGATGGTGATTGTGACAAACTACCGCATCATCTTTGATGGCGCGCTGATGGCGGCTGGGGGGAAAAAGAATTGCCTGCAGGCAAAAGCGACGAGCGTGAATCCCCTCATGACAGCATCTGGTGCACAGGTGAAGCAAGAAAGAGAGCGGGCGCGAACAGCGGCAACAGCCCCAGCAGCAACAACGGCACCAGCCGCACCAGTGGATGTTGTGGAAGCACGACGGCGCGTCGCCCAGCGTGCACAGGACCATGCACCCACACCCACCACTCCCTCACTTGCCACCGTCAACGCCAACAAGACAGCGCCGGTGGCGTCGTCCTCGTCCCTGTCGTCATCATCACTGTCCCTGCCTGCAATGTCGAACAGTGGCGCTGGCAAGCAACCAAGCAGCGGCAACGACGACGGTGGTGTTGTGCTTCGGGATGCGCGCTCGCGTGAGACCATCTGGCAGCACCGCGCGTCTGTTGCAGCGGCCGCCCGCAAGTGCACGACGAGCGACCTGAACGATGCCGGTCTCTCAGGCTCGCGGGAATCCCAGCCCGTGTTTGGTGGTGTGCAGGGCAGTGAAACACGCAGTGGGCCACCATCGCTGGCAGTGTCAACCGACACTATGACAGATGCGCTCGAGGCATCGCTGAACTTGCACAATGGTGGCGATGGCGGCGACAGTCATGCCGGTGTGGAAGTGGATGTGTTCACCACCAGCACGGAGCTTGAGGTGTGCGCAGAAACGACCGTGCAGCGTGATGGCGACAGCGCTGCTGCTGGGGATGGAGGAGAAAAAGAAGAGGGAGAGGAGGAGGAGGAGGAGGCCGATGAGATGGACGAAGAGCTGATGCGGCGACAGCTCGAGCCGTCCGTCCCGTTTGTCGATGACGAGTAAGTCGCTGTTCAGTCGCTATTCAGGGTGCTCAGATGTACTGCTTGCTCGCCTGAGTGCGTGTGTCCTTGAGCATGCAGTGTTTGTTTGGTGTGTGCACTTGTGTATTTGCGTGTGGGGGGGGGGGGGGCTGTCTGTCTGCCTGCCTGCCTGCCTGTCTGCCTGTGTGTGCATTTTGAAACCTTTGAGCAAATGCAATACTAGATGTGTGTCACGACTGCGCTCGCACTAACACCCTGCCCACCATCCTGATTTCAGTGTTGAGAGTCCGCTGCCAGACGACTCGTCGTCCACCTCCTTTGCGCTCCACCCTTTCACCAGCACCGTCTCCGTTAGTGCACTTCGTGTGTGTACGTGTGCCTGTGTGTGTATGCATGTGTGTGTGTGTGTGTGTGTGTGTGTGTGTGTGTGTGTGCGGGATAACGTTTTGCGTTGTTCATTTTGTTCATCGTTGAGGAGCTGTTCGTGCAAGCATAGTTGCTGGTGGCGACTACCTTGTTCCGTGCTGTCGTGAGCACAACACATGGAGCGCTCATGGATTGCGTTGTGCTGGACAGGACTCGGCTGATCCGTGCGACACCGTGCGTGCATCTGCGACCATCACATCCATCCACCGCGTCAAGTGGTTTACCATCGATGCCGGCGCACACAAGGAGGTGCGGACCATGGTGTGAGCGCTGTTTCGTGTGCTCACTTGACAAACGTGGATCATGCGAAGCGCGTAGATTGCATCTCAACCAGATCGTGCGAAGCACGTAGATTGCGTCTCCACATCACCCTTCACACACACACGCACACACAAACGCACGCACACACAAACACACACGCACGCACCCACATACACACACACGCACGCACGCACACACAAACACACGCACACACAAACGCACGCACTCACACAAACGCACGCATGCACACACACACACACAGGCGAGCAAGTGGGAGCCACGCGGCATTGTCATCTCGACTCGCAACATGGTGACGATGCGTGTGTGCTTTCCCCTCAACCGCCGCGCCGCCATGAACGACCTCAAGGCAAAGATCCACCAGCTCTGCTCAGTGCAAAGCGTGCAGGTGAGCTTGTCATTGTGTGCATACGTTTCTGTGTGCGTCTGCGTTTGCGTGTCTGTGTCTATGTTTGCATGTACACATGTTGTATGTCAACATTGCATTTGCTGCATGTGTTGCATGTGTTGCGAGCATGTGCTTGCATGCTCATGTATCATATCCATCGCCACCGAAATGTGTGCAGAACACGTTTGCATACTTCACTGGACACAAACGAGAGCACTGGAGTCAGGACGACAACAAGATCAAGGTCACCACTGCCGTCCGCCGCGCCCTCAACCGCAAGGCAACCACCCGCCTGTCAACAGCACCGGTGAGGCTCCTCGTGTGTGTGTGTGCGCGCGTATTCGTGTGTGTGTGTATGTGTGTGTTTGTGTGTGTCTATCTGTGTGTGTCTGCGTGCGTCTGTGTCTATCTGTGTCTGTGTGTGTGTCTGCGTGTGTCTGCGTGCGTCTGTGTCTATCTGTGTCTGTGTGTGTGTGTGTCTGCGTGCGTCTGTGTCTATCTGTGTCTGTGTGGGTGTCTGCGTGCGTCTGTGTCTATCTGTGTCTGTGTCTCTGTGTGAACGTATATGTGCGTGCCTGTGTATCGAGACAGTGTTCGGGGTCAGCAGCCCACATCTCTGCCAGACGCAGGTGCTTTTTCACTTTCCTTGCACTGCTGCTCAACCCATCTCCAACGTCCACGTCACAATAGCGCCGCGGGTCAAAAGACAACACGAGAAGTGGCAGCGGAAACAGGAGCTTGCTTGGCATTGACACGCCCACTCCTTCCGTTCTTGGTTAGAGGTGCAAGCACTGGTCGGCTCAGCATGCACTCGCATTTACAAGCCACCTGATTCTGTCCCATGCATATTCACACTTGCACACACTCACACACACTTGCACTCACACTCACACACATACACACACACACTCTCTCTCTCACACACTCACACACTTCCACACACTCACACTCACCCATACGTACGTACGTACTCACACGAACACACCTTCCCGCTTGTACGTTTCTAGAGTTCCTGCCTGAGGATGCTGGTCTGCAGGACACCGTGTTCCTCTCGGATGCGAGTGCGTCGTCGACAGTGCAATCGCTCAAGCGCACAATGGACCGCATTGGTTTCGGCGCAAAGAGAAACAAGGGCGCAGCCGCACTCTGGAGAGCCTGCTTTGCCAACAGAAAGTACAAGGTACTTGTTTCTGCTTCTGCGTTGTGTGTGTGTGTGTCTGCGCGTGTGTCTGCGCGTGTGTCTCGGTATCCGTGCACTGCCTTGCGCCTCCCCCATCTGCCCCGAGCATGTGTTCTGTGACAAAACATGAAGTTGCAGCAATGGCCGTTTCGCCGTCGCCATTTGCACCTGCCGCGTAGCACCTGCACTTGCACGCACACGCGCGCTCAACGCAACGCTAACCACCACTCGTCACCCTCGCCTGTCACTGCCAGATTTCCGAATCGTATTCACCGCTGCTGTATGTGCCGTCGGAGATTGAGGACGAGGAACTGTCCCGCTGTTGTGTGCACTTTCACCACGAACGCATCCCAGCACTCACCTGGATCGACGAGGGCCGTGGCGGCGGTGTCATGGTGTAAGTCAGCTCGCGTGTGTCTGTGTATGTCTGTGTATGTCTGTCTGTGTGTGTATCTGTGTATGTCTGTGTATGTCTGTCTGTGTGTGTGCGTGTATGTATGTCTGTGTGTGTGCGTGTGTGCGTGTATGTCTGTCTGCCTGTATGCCTGTCTCTCTGTTTTGTGCTGGTCATGTGCCCTTCACAATTCACTTGCACGTCACCTGGTTTGCACTTGCATCCGTGGTTTCTGCCGTCCTTCCTGACAAAACTCCCACACCACGATGCACAATCACTCTTGCACACGTGTGTGGCATTCGGGTATGCTTGCACATGCACACGTGTCAGTTCGAGCCTGTGCATGCGGCCCTCAGAGCCGTCCGTTCGCCGGCTGTGGACAGAAATCGACAAGGCGGCAAACTTCAAGTCAAGGAAGCCAACGTATGTTGCACATGTGTGTGTGTGTGTGTGGCTGCGTGCTTGTGTGGCTGGGTTTGCCCATGACATGCTTCTATCGGTGTGAGTGCAAAGCTGTCCGTATCGTTGCATGTTGTGCCTCCACGCAAGTGCTCATGTGCGTGTGTATGGGGACAGGTCTCCCAATGTGTTCAACGTGGTTGATCGCCTTCCCCTGAGCTTCAAACGGTACAGACATGAAGCCGCGCCCGTGTGTGTGTGTGTGTGTGTGTGTGTGTGTGTGTGTGTGTGTGTGTGTGTGTGTGTGTGTGTGTGTGTGTGTGTGTCTGTCTGTCTGTCTGTGCCTGTCTGTGTCTGTGTGTCTGTCTGTGTGTGTGTGTGTGTGTCTGTGATTGTGTCTGTGTCTGTGCCTGTGATTGTGTCTGTGTCTGTGTCTGTGTCTGTGTGTGTGTATTTCCTCGAACTCTTCCCTTAAAGCATGTCAATAGCTTATCGTCCGTGTGTTACGCGTGTTGCGTGTGCATCTGTGTATATGTGCGTATGTGCAGGTCCCCTCGCGTCGTCGTGTTCACACATGGCACCGATATGTCGGTGCGTGCCGCAGCTGTAGCTGGGACTTCTGCATTCTTGCACAATGGTGTCCTTCATCGCACCCTTTGATTGTGGAATCCCGGACATCCACCCATGCAAATGTTCGCGCGCACACACACCCACACTAACACATGTGCACGACACTGCAAACACACTCCCTCACCGCCAGGCGACGCTGCCCAAAGGGTGGCGGCTGCTTGATCCAACAGCAACAGACGAGTACGCGCTCACGTTCACGGGGGAGACACTGCACCAGAGCTTCACGCAGCTGCAGTCGCTGTGCAACGAGGTGGACGTCCTGTCGTTCCTCACGCGCATTGAGTCAACCAACTGGCTCAACCACGTGGCGAGCCTGCTGCACTGGGCGTGCGTTGCTGCCGAATTCATCACCACGCACGACAGCCTCGTGCTGTTCTCCCTCGGATCAGGACGCGATGAAGCCCTGCAGGTGGGCTCAATCGTGGCTGTGGTGTGCGCATATATGACTGCGTGTGTGTGTATGTGTGTGTCTGCCTGTCTATCTGTCTGTCTGTCTGTCTGTCTGTGTATTTGTCTGTATCTGTGTGGGTGTGGGTGTATGTATGTGTGTCTGTTTGACTGCCTGCCTGTCTGTCTGTCTCTCCGTCTGTCCGACTTTGTTGCGTGCACTCATGCCTACACACATGTGACTGCTCGACTCTGCCTGCTTTAACGCATCCTTGTTCATGCACCGCCTCATGCGTTCCCTTCCTCACCAAGCTCTCAAGCCTGACGTCCCTGCTTCTGGATCCTTACTTCCGCACAATGGAGGGATTCAAGGTCAGTGGTAGGGTGGCGATGGCGAGCTAAGTTCCAGCACTTCATGTTTCCGCAACACCTCCCTAACTCTGTTCTTTCGTGTTCCAACACAACTACACGTGTTCCAACACAACTACACGTGTTCCAACACAACTACACGTGTTCCAACACAACTACACGTGTTTTACTCTTGACTCGCCCCTGCTTGCCGCGCGTGTGTGGCCACTCGACAGACGCTGATCCAGAAAGACTGGCTGCTGCTCGGCCATCCGTTCGCGTCGCGTGCCGGCATTCGAGACGACAGCCACGACGCCCCGTTCTTCATGCTGGTAGGTGGCATGAGCATGTGTGACATGTGTGTGTGTGTGTGATCTCTGCGTGTGTATCCGCTTCGAATCCCTGCAATCTCTCCACAACACGTTGAGAACTCCATACGAACCCCTAAACACCTCGCACCATACGCACACACACGCACGCACACACACACACACACACACACACACACACACACACACACACACACACACACACACACACACACACACACACACACACACACACACAC